ACCTGCCACCTTCTCCTGCTCACCTGCCTCCTCACGGCTGCTGGATTTCCCGTCGGAGCTTTGTCTGTCAGCGAAGTCGAGGCCGCCACTCGAGTGCAGCACTGCAGTAGCGGCGTTGTTCAGCCAGCGACGCACGCGCACAAAATACAAATATCCCCGTGTGCCCTGCAATAGACTGTCGGGGCAAATGCTGCTAGCGAGCACCTCCGAATGCCGGCACGGCACACGAGGTGGTGGGTGGCCAACACGATGAGGCTGAGTCGACCTAGGGGAGGCCCAGGTACCCTGATCAGATACTCGTCACTGGTGGTGGCCGTGAGCGGGAATCGAACTCGTGTCGCCGGATTCGCACCGCACGCGCGCGCACGCGTGAGGAGCTAAGTGTCAAAGGTGCGCCGAGTTCCCGCCCCCCTCCCCCATTGATGGCACTTGAGGCCTCTCTCGACCTTTCCCAACTGCCCCCCCCCCCCCTCGTCTTGGGAGCTCCGCTGCCCCGGTCTCTGGCTGCCCTTCGTCCACCTGCGCTCTCCCTTCTAATGTTCCCGGCCGTGCGCCTTTTAAAAATGTGGACCAATCAGGATGGAGCACCGTATGCTGGTCAGGGGGCGCTCCCGAGCGGACAGCTGATCAGTGGAACCGAAGCCGCCAGGTTCCAAACCGCGGCGCTGTTGAGATTCGCTGCGTGCGAGCGCGGGATCGGGAGCGAGTGCGGCTTGGGCTGCCAACCACGATGGCAGCGCGGACTCGCGGGCAGCGCTGCAGAGCCGCGCGTGGAGGCGTCCGCCCCTGGTGCCGATTGTCGCGGTTTCCTCGTCTGTTTGCAGTGTTAATACCCCTCGTCCCCGTCCTCCTCACCTTGCACGCCCCTCCTCCCCCTCGCCCCCCCAGGGCGGCCTCGTCGGTGTTCACGGCGCTGGCGAACTGCCAGGACGCGGTGGAGGTGACGAGCGAGGAGCACCTCATCCAGGTGAGCGCCGCTGCTGCGCCGCTGCTGCGCCCTGTGCGTGGGTAGGGAGCGGGAGTGCAGTGACTATCGTACTGAGCTGCACACCTGGTGAGACGAGTTCAACTCCCGCTCGCAGCCTCCATCGATGACGAGTATCTGAACCGCTCCTGGCCAACCCCTAGGTCGACTCGTCCTTAAACGAGGACCTGGTGCGGTGTGTAAACATCAGCACTGGGAAGACAAATGCGGCCAGGGGCGTGGGGCTGGCGAAACAACCCGCTTTTGGCTGTTTCGGCCTCGGTAGGTGGCTCGCCAGCAGCGATTTTCTCGAGAGTCTGTGAAAGGACACACTGGGATCTGTGCGTGCGTGTGTGCGTGCGTGTGTGCGTGCAGTACGTGAACCCGGCGTTTGAGCGCATGATGGGCTACAGGAGCGGGGAGCTCGTGGGCCGCGAGCTCACAGAGCTGCCCAAGAGCGACAGAAACCGCGCGGATCTCCTCGACACCATCACCTCCCGCATCAAGAAGGGCAAAGCAAGGAGCGCGCACACACGCGCACAGCGACACACGCACAGCGACAACAGCCACCGGCCACCATTGCGTGGCGGTGACGTCACCACGGCGCTTGTGCCAGGCTAGGTGCTTTTTGAGGCCACGTGAAGTTTCGAAAGCTCGTGTTAGGCAGGAGGTCACGGGACAGACCCAGTTGCCATGAGTTGACTGTTTAAGATGACTGACTAGCAGTGGCATCACCTGTGGTCCCTCCATTGTGAGTGTCGCTCCTCCGCCCTCCGCTGTTATTGGATGGCGCCTGTTTCCAACTACCCAGTAGCGTCCTTCACGAGCCGCCTCCACGGAGGCCGGACTTGACACCGCTAATACCGGTCATCGGCAAGTCCACTCAGCTCCGCATCCTCCTGTACCGCATGACTCTATCTCATCTGTAGCCCGTGGCGTGCCCGTTTAGCCCCCTCTATCTGGCCAAACAGAAGCTACTTAGCCATGCAGTGGCTGTGCATGCGGGTTACATGACCCAGCCAACGCAGCGTGTATGTGTGCGTTGTGTGTGCGTGCGTGGCGTGTACACACCTAGGAGTGGCAGGGCATCTACTACGCGAGGCGTAAGAACGGCGACACGGTCAAGCAACAAGCGAAGATCATCCCGGGTCACGGGGCAGGGCGGGTAGGACGCGCGCACGCGCACGCACGCACGCGCACGCAACGCACGCGCACGCACGCACGCACGCGCACGCACGCACGCACGCGCACGCACGCACACCCGTCGTGCCAATGGACTCTCGTGCGCGCGTGCAGCCCCTCTGAACTGGCCCGTGTCTCCTCCGCAGGAAGATCCGTCACTACGTGGCGATAAAGCGTCCGTGCGGGGACAAGCGCAAGCAGGTACCACTCGGGGGGGGGGGGGGGGGTGGGGGGGCGATCTCGAAGGGCGTGAGGGTAACGCGAGCGGGAGTGACGCGTGTGTGTACGTGAGTACGTGTGTGTATGCCCGTTTGTCAGTTGACTCGGCCTTAAATGAGTATCTGGTGATGTTTACACGCAACACCAAGCAGCACCAGACACCACTGTGTGTAAACATCTCCAGGGGCAGTTCTGGTCGTAGTGTGCCGGCCTTCGTAGGTGCCGCTCGTTTACAGCACTTGCCCTGAAAGCCCGTGTGGGCCATGTGGGGGACCTTTGTCTTTGTGCCTGTCCGTGTTTGACTGTGGATGTCGGGTGACGGCCGCAGGGGGCGAGCGACACGGGGAGAGACGAGCGACTCCCAGGGGATGCAGGTGAGAAGCGCGGCACGGGTCGGGGTACACACATACAGGTACACACGCACAGGTACACACGCACAGGTACACACGCACAGGTACACACGCACAGCTACACACGCACAGGTACACACGCACAGGTACACACGCACAGGTACACACGCACAGGTACACACGCACAGGTACACACGCACAGGTACACACGCACAGCTACACACGCACAGCTACACACGCACAGGTACACACGCACAGCTACACACGCACAGGTACACACGCACAGGTACACACACACAGGTACACACATAAAGACAAACATCCTCCCTATAGCCTAAACAGACTGGTGGGGCAAGTGCTGTTCGTGAGTGCCTCTGAGGACTGGCAACGGCACACGAGGGGGTGGGTGGCTATAACCACGCCCGGCCGCCTTTGTCTCCAGTGGCGATGTTTACACTTCGCAACATATACTAATTTGAGTCTGCGTCGGCCTAGAGGAGACCCTGAACCGGTTCATATGATCATCACTGGTGTTGGCCGTGAGCAAGAATCGAATTCTGGTCGCCGGGTTCGTAGCGCAGCTCACTAGCCACTGTGCCACCACTCCCCATGCACACGTGTCCACAGGCACACAGACACGTCTACAAAGACACGTGGACACAGATCCACGCACGGGCCCCTCGCCCTCCCCCCCGTGCGTGCTGCTGCTGCTCGTGATGAATCTGTAAGCGCTGCTTCCTTCTAAGAAGGAAATCGGCTCTTGGAAGAGGAACGTAAACGTGAGCGCAGAGCTCCCAGGGGCCGCCACCTCCCCAACCCCGCCCGCGAAAGCGGCATCTCACCGGGGTCAGCACGGAGACCAGGCGGGTCACGGTCAATCCAGAGGTCATGCTCAAATTTTAACAACTCACAGGGGCTAGAGCTCACCACAGCACTCGCGCACATGCGCTGTGACGACGCACGCGCCTCTCTCGCCCCGCAGAGCCCCACTCCCAGCGGCACAAGGAGCGCAGGACGGGCTCCTTGGACATCCGCTCGGTGACCTCCCGCGGCAGCGACGGTGACAGCCACGCTCGCCCTCCATCCCCTCCCTTTCCTCCACCCCCCTCGCTCCCACCCTGCCAGCCTCGTCCCTGTCTGCTGGCTTTCCTGCCCTGATACCACACCCCCCACCCCCACCCCACCTCCCCCAACACACACACACACGCTCATGCCACGGTGCCTCCAAAACCACACACCCCCGTACCCTCAATCCCTCATGCCCCCCAGAGCCACATACCCCCCCCACCACACACACAGCCCCCCCCCCAATGCCCATTGTTCCCATAGGAGATGGGGCTCTGTTTGTCAGGCTGTCTGCTGGGGGGGGGGCTGTCTGCTGGGGGGGGGGGGGCAGTCTACTGAAAAGGTGGGGGGGGGGGGGCTGCCAGGCAAGGGTCTGGGCACGGCCCCGCTCCTTCCCTCTTCCTCCCTGTCTCAGACAATGCCTCGACCCGGGGGATGGCTGTCGCCACTGTTTACAGCGAGCGTGCGCTTGTGCAACCGTGTGTCTGCGTGCGTGTGTAACCGTGTGCGTGTGTGCGTGTGTAACCGTGTGTCTGTGTGCGTGTCTAACCGTGTGTCTGTGTGCGTGTGTAACCGTGTGTCTGTGTGCGTGTGTAACCGTGTGTGTGCGTGTGTAACTGTGTGTCTGTGTGCGTATGCAACTGTGTGCGTGTGTAACCGTGTGTCTGTGTGCGTGTGTAACCGTGTGTCTGTGTGCGTATGCAACTGTGTGCGTGTATAACTATGTATCTGTGCGTGTGTAGCTGTGTGTCGGTGTGCATGTGTAACTGTGTCGATGTGCGTTTGTAACTGTGTGTATGTGCGCGTGTGTAACTGTATCTACGTGCGTGTGTACTGTGTGTATGTACATGTGTGAAGCGGTATGTCTGTGTGCGAGTGTGACTGTGTGACGGTGTGCGTGCGTCGGGTCTTCTCGGCCATAGTTATGCCTTCCGTTCTCTATGCTTGAGAAACGTGGATCCCCAAAATAGAAATATTCAGGCTGGCCTGCCTACAATCCATCTTGGATTTAACCAGTCTGGATTGTTTGAAGAGCTCACAAATCCTTGAAAGATCTGGACACAGTCCCATCGGTGAGCTCCTCCAAGCAGACAATGCTGCATTGGCTGGGTCTTGTAGCCCGCATGCCCAGTCACCGCATGTCAAAACAGCTTTTGTTCGGCCGGATAGAGGGGGCTAAACGGGCGCAGCAAAGGCTAGAGAAGAGATGGAATCATATG